GGGGCTTTTCTTTTTGTTTTTCTTTTTTTGCACTTCTTGTTTCTTCTTTTGTTTTTTTTTAAATTTTCTCTTTCTTTAATTTGTGTTTTTTTTAAATATAGTTTCTCTTTTTTTTTGTAATTAGTAGTTTTGTATTAATATAAAATCATTACTTTCTTTTGCTCTCAATAAAAAAAAAAGAATTAAAAGGATTAGCTTTTGATAGGCTAACAAAGTCTATTCAACTTATATACAAGTTGGTACAATAAGTCGCTGATAGGCATATTTATTACAGCTATAAGATGTTGGGCTTGCTATTTGGTATATTTTTTTAGTTAGAAAAAAGTGTATTATATATTCAGAATAGTTTACCATTATTTATTAAATAAAGATACTGTTATTTAAGCTTCAACAAGACTGTCAAAGAGCTAAAAAAAAAAAAAAAAAATTAAAAATATCTATACTATTAAAAATTTTAATATTTTTAATATTAATATACTGTATATAATTAATCTTCTATATAGTCACTTTCTATATAATTACATTATATATAATTATATTTTTATTTTTGTAAGGTGATCTTATTGGCTATATCTTTTTATTAGAAGTTTTATTTTAAATACAATAAAAATATATCAAGTCACATATACACTTTTGGTATCTAATTTAAGTAGTCTGTATTTAAGCTATTTTATTTGAGATTCTACACTATCTGCCATATCTGTACTCTAATTACAGAGTATTTATTTAAACTCTTTGATTATAATCTAGTTTCACTATGTGGGTTTTTATAATTATATTTTTATTTAAACTAGATCTAATAATTTAATTTATAAAAAAAAAAATCTCTATATAAACATATTTTTAAAAAATTTACTATATATTCAACTATATAATTATATAGAAGAATAATTATATAATTAACTCTTTCCAATAATCACTTGGTCCAAAAATTCTTGTGAAAGAAAAAACACAAATTTTGTTAAAGAGTCGTGGCCTAACATAGTGGTTTGTTTAGAGATCAATATACTGCTGCGGGACTTCTCTACAGATGATATTTGGCATACAAACCAAGAACATTATTATACAAGATAACTGGCAGGAGGTGCCCTTGTATAAAAAATCTTGGTGGAGAAGAGAACTCTTTGGATACTCTCTTTTTTCGTCAACAAAGCTCTTAGATTGTATTTCTTTGAAGACACTAAAGAACAACAAAATATCCTGTTACTTTCTTCAAGCTGCACTTCTTTAATTGGTCAAGTGGTACTTTATACTCTTTTTCATCCTTCTTAAAAATTTTCAACAAAAAGTGGAGATTTGGCTTACCTCCTCCAAAAGATTGGCATTGTTTATTTCCCAAATTCAGATGGACTAGCAGAATGCAACCATGTGTTTGTTTATAAACGAATATGGCACTTTTTCATAGAACTTAGCCTGGAAACTTTAATTATAGCAGCAAGTGGCTTAATACACGGGTCCTCGGACAACAGCAGCACCTGGCTCGAGATACGAATTAGGATGGGCAACGAAGCTACAGTCAGACCTCCATAAATGCAATCTCCCTAAATACATGTTCTATAAAAAACCTCTATAAATGCACAGCCTTGCTGTGTTTCTACTACATATACACTTATAGATTTTTACCTAAATGCAATACCTCCATAATGCAAGATTTTTAAAATTTCTATATAGTCTGCACGAATTGCATTTAGAGAGGGTTAACTGTATCTAGAGTTAGTAGAAAGGTCAGAAAGTAAATTTAATATTAAAGTGAATACTTTACAAAAGAGATATACAAATATTGCATTTGGTATATAATTTTTATCAGCCATGTATGGGTTATAACAGTGCCTTTAGGATTTTGAATTTCTTTTTATATTTTTTCTTTTCTGTTTTTTCTTTTTTCTAGTCGTTTTCATAATTCTTTGTTAAAAATTTCCCCTTTTGTCTCATGTTCCTTAAGAAAAAGGAAAAATTAGAAGAGAAAAAAGAGATCCTGATGCGGTTTACAACATCCGGTCAAATAATCGAGGGGGGTATCCTTTGTCGATACAAAATCTGAAGCGAGTTTTAGATCCCTTTGTGAGACTAATAATTGTTATAGCAAGTCGCATTGGGCAGTACTTAGTATGCTTGGTGAGTTTTTATTAGAATAGAGCATTACACTATTTCGGTAGTTACTTATGTAATAATCATATAGTAGTTTATAAAATAAATAGAAGCAGGATCATTTAAATAAAAAAATAATAATAATATATAATAATATCAGGTGTGTGAAAAATCTCCAAACAAGATTTTTTTTACTTATTAAATAATATATTTTGGCTATTATTTAATATAGTAGTTGCTTTAATTATACCAAAATATTGCAAATATATATTGTTACAAAAAATTTATTATAGACAAAAATATTAAAAAAGTTTTTATTCAAAAACTTTTTATTTACTCTGTATAATACAATTAAACCTTAATATAGTTACTAGATTAAAAAACAAAATTTTAGTAATTATAAAAATTTATAACTATATAAAATTAAAAAGTTGATATTTAGTATAGATGGGAAAATAAAAATATTATAAGATTATAGAAAATAACTACATTTAATCAGGGGAAATTATCTTTCTTAATTATTTATAGAATTAGGATTAAAAATTAGAAAATTATTTTTTTTTATATAATATAATATAGAGCTACTATAAGAGCTTAATAGAGCCCAATCTCAGTTTTTATATAAGGTTTTTGGAAGTTTTAAACATTTTTACTTAGAGTACCTGATCCAATTTACTTAGTACGTTTTTGAAATATAGCACTTCTGGGTAATTTTCTCTGGTAAAAATTAGAAATTCTCAAGATTATAATATATAAAAAATTACTATTTAAACTAATTTAGAAGAAGAGTCAAAATAATCACTAAATTTGGCCTAACAAACAAGTTTGAGGCAAGTAATAGTATTGAGCAAGAAAAGATAATATTGTTATTAATATAGCAGATATTTTATAATTTGTTATTAAGAAAAATTCAAAATAACAAGAAACTCAAATAGAGTTAGCTCAGGCCAGATAATAGATTTGCAGATGAATATTATAATAGTTAATATAATAAGGCAAACAGTAGCAGACCAAGTTAAGCAAATTATTAAAATAGCACTGAGGTTTTTTAAGTTCAATAATATATAAATAAACAGTACAAAGTTCAAACTTATAATAGTGAATATAAATCTAGAAAAAAGCAAAAGGTAGATTGAGATAGATAGTTACAAGCTATAAACTAAGAGAAAAAAATCATTAACATGGATATTAAAAATCTGAATAAATACAAATCTAAAAAAAAGTCTAATAGTTAAAAAGGCAAAAGATATTGTAGAATACTTTGTAAGAATACTAAGATATAAGAGCCTGTTTATTAGCTAACTAATTTATGTAAATAATATATATATAGTGCTAAAACTAGTATATATATTACAGATAACAAAAATAACTCAAGCAAGTATAAATAGAATATACTAATCAGTAATAAGAATAATTAAAAACAAAATAGAATTGCTAGCAAAAAAAGACTATAATCAACCAACTTTTTCCAACAATCACTTGGTTCAAAATTCACATAGAAGAAAAAATACAAATTTTGTTAAAGAGTCATAGTCTAATATAGTAGTTTGTTTAGAGGTTAATATTTGCTTGCAGGACTTCTCTAAAGATAATATTTGGCATGCAAGCCAAAAGTATTATTATACAATATAACTGGCAGAAGGTACTCTTGTATAAAAATCTTGGTAGTGGAAAGGACTCTTTGGATACTCCTTTTTCTTTATTAACAAAGCTTTTAGGCTATACTTCTATGAAGACACTGAGGAACAACAAAATATTATGTTATTTTTTCAAGATATACTCTTTTTTTTTTCATTTTTCTGTACTATTATAGCAATCAAAACACTGGTGGCGTCTTTTTATTAGAACTATTTATATTGTATTACATTGTGACTTTTTGTCTATATATAGCTATATATACTACTCTACTATGTACTTTGTTTCCATATTACCTGCTTGTGAACTACCTTACCCCAGTGTTGTCAATTTTTGATGTCCGAGTCAAATATAGCGGACTGGATATTTTCAGATATTGTCCGATGTCCGGGTCCGAATCATGTCCGAGTAAGTATGTTGTTACTCAGACAATGTCTGAATAATTTATCTCGGACTCAGACATGTTTGGACTCGGACATTTTCAAACATGTCTGAGTTTGTAATATGATTCTTACTTTGCAAGAAGCAACTTGCCAGTTGGATGCTAAACTAAATACGTACATATGTATGAACTTTATTGGAATTATTCAGGTAGTATAATTTACATTACAGCTGTCCTCATAAATTTTGGAACATCTGGTAATAAAATTGACCGAACAATTATTTGAATGATTCGACAAATTTTTGATTCAGCAATAATTAAACTTATGATTTGGCATTATTAGTAATATAGTGTAACCATCGTAAGAGAGAGCTTGGTACTGTCATGCCAAGTTTAACTCCGATGGTTAATATTAGAAGAGTCACATAATTTGGATAATAAATTATAGTATTCGGATATTCATAATTTATTAGGCATTTATTATAAAAAGAATATGAATTTATATGATCTTTATTTATAGAGGAATTTGGAAAACGAATGTTTTCCCTTATCAAAGGGCGAGAACAAGCACTTATATACATGTTAATTTCTCAGAACGTGCTCATATGATTTAGCACGTAGACGCTATATTTTCAGCGCAGGAATTAAGCAGCCAAGAATACATAATGATAATAATGCCTAATATTACTAAGGTAAGATTAACATGACTATGATAGTACAATTATAGAAGGTACAAATGATGACTTAAAGAATTAGACAAATATGGAAGTAAGGAGATACAGAAAAAATTAATCGTTACAAATATATACTTTTTTGGCGAATGCTTTTGTTTGCATGTCCAGTATGTTTGGTGAGTTAATCTGTATAAAATTTATGACGAAAATTGCTCTTGTTTTCACTGACTTATTGAATCAGCAAGTGATTCTTCAGGCCTTCTCGTCTCCGATTACAAGTTGATAACAATGTCTAACATTATTTGCTCTTTCAGCATAATAGATTTTTTGGTACCTTTTCCATTTTACAACAATCACCATATGCTCTGGTAGGATTTTCTTTCTCATTCGCCTTATATTTATACTTATCACTTCAATTTTGACACTTTCCTTATTAGGAGCCTTTTAATAGTAAATTAGCGCTTTATGTTTATTCTTTTTGACATCAACACCATTAGATTTCAGCTTATTTGATTCATACATTTTCTACTGGACTGACCGGGTAAGACCTTGAATTTTTTAACTATGTATATTTCCTTAACTAAAGATTGTACCTGAGTAGAAATTGCTATTATGTAACATAATTATTTATCTGAATAACCGGGTAATTTAATAATACCCAGGTTGAGGTTTTCCCAATAGGTACAATCTCTATCCTCAACGACACTCATATCTGATTTTTGATGATATTCAGACCTTTTCCTTTTGTTAGAACCTTCAGGTTTGTTTCTAATTCTTTCATATTCGCATTTCTTTGATCACTTAAATTAATATCCACATTCTCTCTTGTTCTTGGTTTATCTGCCTTGGCATTTTCATTACGCTTTTGATCATCTTTTCATATCTCTTATTACCATCATCCTTTACTTGAGGATCTTATTTCATTAGCCTTACCATCTAGATCCATATTAAGGGTAATGGATTAACTCATAACAATGAATAAATAGAGATTGACGATATGAAATGATATGAAAAGATCTCATCATAGGGATTTATAATTGAATTTATAATCCAATGGATATCATATGATTAAATAATTAACCAAAGGGCAGCTCTAAAAGTACCGTCGTATGATAATCCCTGCCAATCAGATTTACTCACATATATAAAATAGTTATATTCTGGGTATATGGTTAGATATAAGCGAAAATGAAATTTCTGCTTATACACATAGTACACATAGTACTCAGGGTATAACTGATTTATACCCTGCGATCTTAATATAGTAACCAAGGTATAAATAACATTATCTGATCTAATTATTGAGATCATCATGTGACAATATTTTGGGGCTGTTCTGGCTCTTTCACAATATTGTATATTTAACTATTAAAAAACCGATTAATAATAGAGTTGAACAAGCTAATAACATTAAAATGCAAAATAAATAAAAAATATATTTTTAGTAATATGTAAAAAATAAGAATAAATTAAATAGCATTTTTTAATAGTGTATAAAATTAGTATTAAAACCCAAAATAAATACATTCGTTTCAAGGTTTATTTTAATATTTTACCACTCTGCTTGTGCATAAATAAGAACTGGTCTAAAGAATTCTCTGTTAAGAATAGTATTAGACCAGATCTCAAATATGATTGGTTGAAAATTAGGTTTGTCTGGCAGACATATTTGGTTGTCCGAGTTCGAATCTGGTCCAAGTCCGAGTCCGGTCTGGTCCGAATGACAACACTGCCTTACCCATCTGGCGGTGTTATCGGTGTCAGCTTCTGTGTTTACGGGTTCGGTTTCCCAGGCCTACTTTTGTGTCATCAGGTACTTTTTTCGTTTATATTTCCTTATCTTACTTGCTTCTGAGTTTACAGGTTCGGGTGACTAGGCTTACTGTCATGTCACCAGGGCGTCTTTATGTGGTCAATCCTACTTGAAGTTTCGGTTTTCCTTCTGTTTCAGATTTGAGCAAGGGTACTTTAAATAGTTCCTTTGTACTTCTTTTTTCCTTTTTGGGTAGACATCATGTACCTTATATCTTTATTGGGGGTTTCTTATATTAACGACTTTCTTTTGTCAGATTCTTGTCCTTTTCTGGAAGTTGCATAACTTTTTCATGGCTATGTCTCGCAATCTTGTAACCAAATGTGGTTCTGGCAGAGAATGATTCCTCTTGTAGGTTTCGAACTCGCAATCTTGCATTTAAGACCTAGAAGTGCTAACCACTGTACTATCGACCCATAGGTTACCACACTCTTTTTACTTGGTCAAGTAGTAATTTTTTACTTTCTCTTATCTTTTTGTCGATTTTCCAAAAAATTTTAACAAAAAGTGAGGATTTGGCTTACTTTTTTCAAAAAATCAGTATTGTTTATTTTTCAAATTTAGATAGATTAGTGAAATGCAACTACATGTTTGTTTATAAACAAATATAGCACTACTTCATGAAATCAGTTTGGGAACTCTAATTACAGTAGCAGGTGGCTTGAAACACAGGTTCTCAGATGATAGCAGCACCTGGCTTGAGATACAAATTAGGACGGGCAATGAAACTATCTAGAGTTGGTAAGAAGATCAAAAAATAAATTTAATATTAAGGTGAAGCTTTACAGTAGAGATACAGTATACAAATATTGTATTTGTTATATAATTTTTATCAGCCATGCATGAGTTATAATAGTGTCTTCAGGGTTTTGGAATTTTTTTTATGTTTTTTTCTTTTTTACAATCAGTATTTCTTTTTTCTTTTCTGTTTTTTCTTTTTCTAATCATTTTTTTAAAAAATTTTTCTCTTTTGTCTTATACTCCTTGAAAAGAAAAGGAATTATAAGAGAAAAAAAAGATTTTAACGTGGTATACAACAACTTGTCAAATAATCAAGAGGGTATTCTTTGTCAATACAAAATCTGAAGCAAGTTTTGGATTCTGGGTGAGACTAATAGTTGTTATAGCAGGTCATATTAGTAAGTTTTTTATTAGACTAGAACTATTCACTATATAAAAAACATATATACTTTGTTATAGTGTATTTATATAGCAATTTATATAAATAAAAAGCAGGATTGCTTAAAAAAAATAAAATAAAATAAAATTGCTAGCAAAAGCAGACAATTATATAGTAATACACCAAAAGTTAGGCCAATATAAGTCTTTGGGGTAGAAGCTCTTTAACAGACAATTGGTATACTTGCAAAATAGACTTAACAAGTTAAATTAAATAGAAAAAATAAAATGAATAAAGATTATACAGTATATTCGCTAGATTAGTAAAAGAAAGTTGGCAAGTATCATAGAATTAGTACCTTAAAAAGGTTTAGAAAAATAATCTAGCAGTATTAATTTTAGTCAAAGCAAATAACTAATACTAAGAAGTGATAAGTTTTTGGTACAGAACCAAAATATTAGCTAAAGTGCTAGATAAAAAAATTTGTAGTATTTACTGCAGTAATATTAGAAGTTTCAACTAGTTCTATGTGAATTAGTTGAATAATATAACAAGTATGGAGATGATAACATAAAACAAGCTTTATATATTAAAAACAAAGTTATTAAAAAGACATAAAGTGAAATAGTTTGAAGCAATAGAGAAAAAGATTATTTGTTGTATAGAAAGTAAAAAAAATAGTGAATTTTTATAAGATTTCAGAAGAGAATTTAATATATATACAAATAAAGGCAAAGAAGTTATCTAAAGATTGAAGATAACATAATGAGTAATTGTTAACAAAGAGAATACAAAGTTAATAGTTGGTAAAGTTAAAAAGAAAAGAAAGTTATAGATACTAATTGATTACTAAAAACCAAAGTCTTCAAGTAGTAGTAGAAGTATACTAGTAAAGTGCAAAAGCTACAATTTAAGCCAAACAGCTAAGATTGATATATACTAATAGTAAATCAAAAAGAGTAGAGTATTAGAAGTAATTTTCAAGATTAGTATAAGTAATAGAAAAAAAACTATTGCTACTAAAAGAGATTAAAGAGTTTAAATTAGGTAGTAAGACAGTAATTAAAGAGAAAAATGAAAGAGAGATAATTAGTGCAATAGTGATAAGCTTATATAAAAAAAGTTTAGTTATAAAGCAAAGTTTTGATCAAAAGCTAGAAGTACTATTAATATAGCAAGTAGAAGGCAATTATAGTAAAAATATAGATAGTAGTGTGTATTATACAGACAAGTTATTGTTTAAAAGTAAGGTAAATTTTAAAATAGGTGCAAGTTAAATACAGATTAATAATTTGAAAAAAAAAGTACTTGTAGAAGAAAAAATTAAATTTGGTAGATAGCTATTGTCAAAAATTAAGTTAGTAGTGTAGATAGTAGTATTGATAGTTAGATGTAAAAGTAAAGTTGTAGTTAAGTTAAATAATGTTGTAGCAATTGTAAGCCTAGAAAATGCAATAGTATTTACAAATATAAAAGTGTGAAGTAAAAAGCAGAATACTAGCTTGATAGTTAAAATTAAAGATATATATAAATTAAAAAATTTAATTCTCTAGTTAGTTAAGATAAAAGTATACAACAAGGTAAAATGAAATGAGAGAGCCAACTAATTGGCAAAAGAAAGTATCTACTTAGAGTGATACTTAGCATTATTTTTAAAAAAAAACTATTATAAAAAGTATATAGTTTATCTTAATAAAATACTAGTTAAGATAACAACAAAAAAACTAGTCAAGATACTAATAAGTTTTAAACCCAGTACAGAATAGTATAGTTTGAATACCATCAAAAGTGTATATAACAAGATAGACGCTAATTATAGCTAGAAGGTCTTGTAGTATTAGAATAAAAAAACAACAAAGAATAAGTATAAATTACATACTAAGTTCTTATTCTTAGCACTAGGCTTAAAATATAAAACCTTTTTCAATTATGTAAAAAGTTTTTATTAAGTTTAATAAAGATAAGAGCATAGTCTTATCTTTAACATTTTTTTTTTTTTTTTTTTTATTCTTTGATAAGTCTTGCCGTGACTTAATTTCTTAGTTTAAGTATATATAAATCATATACAAATATTTCTAAGACTAAACAAAAGCCTGACCTCACCTGGTTGCCTATTCAGATACCTAGGTGCAACCCATTACACTGGCTCACGGATGTGCCAAAAAATAGTTCTTTTTATAAACTTGTTCAAAAGGGATTTACACCCTTTTGTATCCAATTTGAAACCATATCACTCCATGTTGTATATAACTTCATTTCTTTTGCCATGATTTCCCTTCCTTTTCCTTTAATATTCTTTCTTCTCAGCCTAGAGATGGAGGTTGTGTTCTTTTTTGGCTTAGGAACTTTAACTTTCTTCTCTCTTTTATTATGTCTGTTTATATTATGAGCTTTTTCCCAATCTGCGAGTTTACTACATCTATTCTTCCAGATAAAGTTGTAGAAACTGTTCCAGATTATGTGAGCTATAATCTCGATTGTTCTTGAAGTCGTTTTTGGTGATTCCAGAAGATTTTTGATTTCATTGAAAGAGTTTACTGTGGTTAGACCTTTGATCCATAATCTACGCTTTTCTTGTTTATCAGTTTCTGTTTCTCCAATTAGAATCTTGTACAAGGAGGTTTTTGAACACTTAAATCTTTCTTCTGCTATAAGTTTTGACCATGCTAAGTCAATCGTTTCATCCTCGATGTCTTGCTATATCTCTTTGTAATAAGAACATTCGGCTAGATGATTTTGTATTTCAACAATATTACTATTACACACTATGTAGTTACCACTAGTATATATATCGGGTCTTTTGTTGAAAGCGTCCGCAGGACTGGAAGGTTTTCTGAAAGGCATTTAAGTTGTGTAGCAAGTCGCTTGCTTTTTTGCAATGAATCGCATCTTGCTCTATTTAATCTTGACATTCTTTTTCAATATGTATGCCAGTCTAGCTTAGGATTATTTGAATCGGGTTCTAGAGCTAGTATTGACTCAGTTAATTTCCAGTTTGTGCCATTCCAGGTCT